TCGCAGCTGTTTGGAGGTGACATGAATTCCAAAGGTCTTCTCCAGTCAGGCTGCGACTGGAGATGACCTCATATTTTGGTGTACATGAAGGTGATGGGCGAGGGCCAGCTCCTGCTTATCGAGGAACATCTTGGGTATCTTCCGCCCTGGTACTCGTATCCACGTCTTCTCTCTGGGCTGCGAAAACTTTGCTGATATGTGACTCGGTCGAAGTGACTTTTTTTGCCCCCCCCCCCTGTATATTTTACTCATCTGAATGTCACCTGAATATTCACGTTCTGCAATTGTTTAGGTCGAAGCTCATGGATCTGAAAAAGCTGCCGCGAAGTCAGCGAGGATTCTGTAAGGTGAGCAGTGAAGTTTTGCCTCTCTCAGGTGCTGCAAAATAGTGAAACCTTTTAGTGATTGGGAAAATTCCGAAATCCTCGTTTAGTAATCATAGAAGAATTGGATAAAGGTCAAGTTTTGCCCCAGTCTTTATATTTTTAGGCACTTGTGCTCGCCTGTGCTCATGGCTCTCTAATCGGTGGAACGGGAATTATTACTTCGACCGGACCAAACCTAGTTTTTCGTGAAATCATTCAGATGTGAGACTTTTCTGCTATGTATAAGATATAGTCTTTCTCGGCATGGGTCATGACATCGCCCCCCCCCCCCCCCCGCCCCCGGCGACGGCTGTCGCGTTGCGGTTATTTGACCACGGTTAGGGATAGAATAACTAGTGGTTGGACGGGGGATGGGCGCTGGCAGTCGTACACCTGGGCGGTAACTCCTTCTATGAAGCGAACTAATCGTATGCATGTCGCGCAAAGGAACTGCACGAGCTTTAAAGTGTCAGTCCAAGTCTCATCACTGGGGGCAAAAGTTAGCAGCAGGCCACGACTGTACTTCAGGACTTTCACTCCTCTCTCCCCCCCTCCCGCCTCTGGCCGTCCGCGTGACGTGTCAAGTCTATGATACTCGAATATTGACCATATCGTTCAACGATTTGTTTTTTTTTTAATCTTAAAAACCAATTTGTTCACGATACTCCTTTCTAGGGCCTACCCTCACAATGAGGTTCGGGTCTCATTTGTCCAGTGGATGGCATTTGCTATTCCGCCAGTGATACTGTACCTCACAGCTTCATTTCTGATCCTTACGGTACGCGTTCCACAAAGTATAAGGAATAGAATTCCAGGGTCAAGTATAAAGGCCTTCGACTGGTTTAGTGTCTTCCATGGACCGCGCCACTGTTCTTCTGATGGTGGTTCTCGCTCCTAATGTTGCTACGAAAAACGAGCGGTCCAAAAGGCAGCTTCAGAGAACATACAAAAATGCCTACGAGGACCTGGGACCTTTCACGTAAGCGTTTCGTTTGTTTTATTTCCTAGAGTTACATTAATTTTCTTTAACAATTTCTGAAGCAAAGATATTGGGGGGGGGGGGGAGCAAAAGGCGACACTGGACCACACCCACCATCTCTACGTCTGCTCCCTCTTGAAAGTATAGGATGAGTTTGACTGCACCTAGGCGTTGCCTAGTCTCGTCCACTGCCCCCTCCGAATAACCTTAGCACCTGATTTCTTCGAAAGGAAACTTCGCTTCCTCCCACTAAAGTCATTCATCATTTTTGCACCGTTTAGCTGAAATCTGCATCGATTTGTAATTGACTATCTCATGATGCAATATACAGATAGAACTTTTCTCTATATCAGCGTTTTAGCAGCAATTCTTTAGCAACTGGGTCTTTAGCCACGCCCACTTTGGACGGCAATCATAATGAAAGGCAAAACGTGAGAGCTAAATTCCGTAATAATCGTATGAGCTGGAACAGAGAAGAGCCTGAATGGTCGTGTTCTCTTTCACACAGCTTCATAAGGAGAGCTGCACCAATGAGAGAGGCGAATTTTTTTGTCGCCACCCATTCGGCCGGCTATCGTGGAATGTGCCTTGAACGGACTGGTTACGCAGGCATTTTTTTGTGAAATATCCTGCTGATGTATAAATATTACATGAACAAAACTTCCCTATGAAAAAAAAAATTACAGTGGTCGATGACTTCCCATTCATTGTTTCAGTTTTGCCGAGAAGTCTGTCCTGTGCTGGTTTGCTATCCTCATGGGTTGTTGGATCATGCGAAAGCCTGGGTTTATCGCAGGATGGGGAGATCTCTTCCCGAATGAAGGGTACATTCCATTCAGTTGTACAGTCCTCATCATTGCGGACCGGTGGGGCGTGTCAGCCAGTATGAGTGTGCACACTGTTGAAGCCGTTCTCAGCCTTTTTGTTGAAACGCGTATGCGACAAAAAGTGGTAGAAAACGAGT